CTCTGCTTGCCATGCAATCTGATTGATCAATCCAATGGTCACAAAAGTCGTCCACCATACACACTGGTCAACTGATGCACACGTAATCCTAGAAAGTCCAAAGGGCCTTGCATTTCAATGGGCCTAATTGCTGCAAATTAACCTCCAAAAAAAGGCCAACACCCCCATGGTTTGCATTTTCTTTTTCCTTTTTCTTTCTTATTTTTATTTTAATTGTCTTTCTTTTGCTTTAATTAATTCCACAAAATAAATTTATAACACAAAAAAAAAAAACCAGAAAAGGCAAAATTAAATATGTTTATTTAATTTTTAATTCATTAATATTTTTTGTAAATAAATCTTATTAATCAATTTAGTTTAATTTAGGGTTTTAAATTTTAATGTTTTCTTAATAACAAAAAAATATAAAAAAATAGGTTTTTAGCATTTCTTATTCTTTTTCTTAATAAATAACCTTTTTTGTATTTCTTATAATTATTAATTATTAATTATCTTTGTAAATAAACTTGTAATTAAATAATTTGAGTAAATTAGGTTTAAACTTTAATTCTTTTCCTTAAATAATTAAAAACATGTAGAATTAGGGTTTCTTTTCCTTTTAATTTTCTTTATTTCCATTAAATACAAAAACATTAAAAACAATTTCTTTTCTTTATTTCATCATTAATTAATTTGTAATTTCAATTTAATTTCTTTAAAGGGTCCAACGCCCTCGCACCTTCAATTATAATTTCTTTTCGCGCGTTTGCTTCTATTTTTTCATTTTCAAATATTATGTATTTGCCCCAAAGCCTTGTAATAATAATTAGGACATTTACTTTCCGCACTTTTATTCAAAATCGGGTCTTTGTTAATTTGGTGATGTATAGACCCGCGCCTTGTAATAGCGTAGGACTTTTATTTTCCGCACTTTAGATTCCGCACTTTTAAACTGTTAATCACATGAAAGAATGTATGCCCAAATAAAATCAAAGCATAGCTCACCCAATGCATGACAAGACAAATAATAACTGAAAATGACACACAATTCACACACCACTCCTAGGGTACGCCTCCCTGTTGCCTTGCCCCTCGAAACGTGGTCGTCAACTATAGGACGTCTTAGTAAGTCCTTATGTTCCATTGATCTAGTTGCCTCGAAACGGTTGCCTCGGAACAAGTTGCCTCGGAATAGTTGCCTCGGAATAAAAAAGATCAATGGCATAAGGGTAGCTTCTAAGGTGTCTTACTGTTGCTCGGTGACCACACTGTCCCTAAACTCGAATTGACCCAAACACCTCCAACGGTGGTGCTACCTACCTCTCAATGGTGGGATGGCACTACCTTAAGGACATTTACACAGCCTAATTCCTTAGGGTAGGTAGATGACTCGTAGATACTTGCTCTAATTCAAAACAAATCAAAAACTTCTTTTCACACCGACACTTTTCAAAAAGCTTTCAAAAACAACTTTTCAAACACTCTTGAGGACTGATACAAGAGTCGAACTGAAATTTTAAACGAAACTTTTTCAAACCCACTCACCTTGAAAAGCAAGCAAACATTTTGAAAACACAAATGAGCAAGTATCTAAGAGCCCATGGATAACCATGGATAGAAAGGGTGCTAACACCTTCCCTTTCTATAAATCTACCTCCCGAACCGAGAACTAATCTCATAAGGAATTTTTCTGTGCTTTTGTCCTTTCCATTTGGAGAAAATAAAAGACGGTGGCGACTCTTGCTTCCGCGACATTTCGCGAACCAGCATTAAACAGTCAGTTCCAGATCCACCGATCACAGTGGGATAGCATTGTCTAAAGGAAATTAGCATAAGAACGATTCCTTTTTCGAGTAGGTAGATAGTTCTTAGATACTTGCTCATCCAAAACAAAAAACTTTTTCACACTTACACTCCTTTTCAAAAACACTTCATTACACTCTTGAAGACAGACGCAAGAGTTAAATCGAAGTTAAAACAAAAACTTTTCAAAACCCACAAGCACAAAGAAAACAATTTTGAAAATGATGAGCAAGTACCTAAGAGCCCGTAGATAACTACGAATAGAAAGGGTGCTAATACCTTCCCTTTCTATAATCCACCCCCCGTACTCAGAAATATCTCGAAAAAGGAATTTTTCTGTGCTTTTTTCCTTTCCTTATTGGATAAAATAAAAGCCGGTGGCGATTCTTGCTTACCGCGACATTTTGCGAAAACAAATGCAAAAACGCAAACCAACATTCCAAAAACAATCAGTTCTTCCCACCGTATCACATATGAAAAAGACACAAAAGTGGGGATTTGACACTCATCCAACAATCTTGCAAACAAAAGACTAATTTATGCATTCATCCAAAAACTTATATTGAAAACACAAAAGAAAGAATCACAAGGGCTTTTCAAGATTGTAACGTGGCTTGGTTAACAAACAAGCGGACAAGTCCTAAAGCAAATGAAAATAAAAACTTGCCAAACTTAAGAGAGTGATCAACTCACAAAAGTTCAAGCATAAAATCTCAATCAAACTTCTTCTATACTTCCAAATTGTCAAACCAATCACATAACTTATTAACACAACTATTCTGTTTTTTTGTTTTTCTTTTTCAAAATTCTTCTCCTTTTTTTTCTTCTTCTTTTCTTTTTCACATTTTTTTTATTTTATTTTCTCAACCTCATAGCAATCAACACATAAGCAAGCAAACATTGTTCTCCCCAACTTGAATTCAACCAACGTCAAAGTGTGAATACTCCCTACTTTCTAAGGCAATGTAAAAATTCAAACCATAAGTAATGGTTAAGGGTTCAAGAAACAAAATAATCAACATCTATTCAAAAAGGTGAATTAAACATTCATAGACAAGCATTAATTTCAAAAACAACATAGACATTGACAAAATGGCTCAAAGGGGATACTAATGATCACACACTCACAAGGTGAATTGACTATTTGGCTAGGTAGTTGTGCTCAAAATGAAACAAAATGTCGTGATCCTTTTCATGCTTTCATACAATTAACACAAGTAAAATATTAAACATAATAAAATCCAGTTAAAATAAGAACTGTGGTCACCGACATATATGAACAATGGAAAGCTTCCTCACATTTGGGGGTAAAAAGGAACTAAAGTGATTGAATAAAAAACAAGTAATGTAAAAGAATGAATGGAATGGAATTTGTACAAATTATAAGTTTCCTGAACATGTTATGCTATAAAAAGTGACAAACGAGTATCTGGTGTGTACCAACTTTAAAAACTATCATTATCATACATCTGCAAGTTAAAACAATCAAACTCAGAAAATCGCCTAAGAATTCCATAAGATATCAGACCAAAATTGGAGTCCAAACAACAAATAAAAGAATTAGTAAATACTATTATTATGTACTCTCTAAATAGCTTGGGCGAAGTGGGCAAAAGGGGTGAGTGAAATAAAAATTTCACAAGCAAGCAATAGGGCGCGCTTAGCCACACAGACTGCACTTAGCGCGCTACACCAGAAGAGGCGCACTTAGCGTGCACAGACCATGCTCAGTACGAGAAGGTATATGCAGAAAAATCAAAATCACAACTGATTCTCCTATGCTACACATCCACTATGCTATACATAGCTCAACTAAAATATGCACATAGTTACAATACATTATAACAACTAAACAACCAGTGAAAGTTAATTAAACAAGTTGAAAAGTGAAGATTTGAGAATTTTAAGAACTGATCCAATTGCAACTTGTTTAACCAACATTCATCATACTACCTATACTACTACAATGAAAAAAAATACACAAACAAAAACAAAAAAATATGCTTGTTTTACGTCGTTAGCTTGACGTCTTTATTGTGCTAGCTAGTAGCTTCTTCAAATTATGCCATAGTGTTATCACACCGCACAAACCTAAAGAAAGTTTCTTAACCAAACACTTGAATAAACATTACAAAAACAAGAAAATTCACAATAATACTTGAACAATAATGATATACTACACATATTTACACAAACTTGAACACAAAGAAAAACAAACACCTATATGCACAAGTATGAAAAACATGTAAAATATACAAGTTTGGTAAACATAAATAAGTAAATGCACAAATATACATATACAAGTTTAATTACAAGATATGGACAATATGAACATTATGTGCAAAACTCAAAAATAAACAAACTATCGCAATGCAATCTAATAAGAACAATAATCCCCGACAACAACGCCATTTTACTATTGTGGATAAAGCGACAAGCAAAAGATTGGAAGTATTATGAGTTTTATCGTATCCACAAGGATCAGTGGTTACTGAATTTGGAAAAAGATTGATTCTCAAAGTAGTAGGAGTCTATATCAAGCAAGAAGAGAAACTCTTATCAAATTCGTTATACAAGCCATTCCATCTCACATTATGAGTATCTTTGTAATGCCTTCCTCTCTAAGTGATGAAATCGAGAAAATGATGAATCCTTTTTGGCGAAGGCATAACCGTGATATGGCCAAAGGAATACATTGGCTCTCTTGGGACCGGTTGTCTATGTCGAAGAAAGATGGTGGTATGGGTTTAAAATATTTTAGTGCCTTCAATTATGCCATGTTAGGAAAATAAGCTTGAAGCCTTATGACGAATCTGGATAACTTAGTTACCAGACTTGACAAGGCAATGTATTTTCCCAAATGCGACTTTCTTATTTTAGTTTTTAGTTATAATCCTAGTTATGTGTGGAGGAGTATATGGAGCTTACAGTTTGTGGTTCGAGGCAGGTACAAATGGAGTATTAGATCGGGAGAAAACATTATGGTTTGGGGTCATAATTGGTTGCACGATAGCACTTCGTTGGTCAACCCTTTAACGAATAATTCGGTTATGGATAATCTAAAAGTATCAGATTTGATGAACTCAAATGGAAAACATTAGAACTATAACTTGATCCACTCCCTAGTTGGGGGTGAAGATGTGGATAAAATTCTCATAACTCCTTTATTTGAGGTGGTCCATGTGAATAAATTAGTGTAGAAGTTTGAAAAGAATGGCATGTATTCTGTGTGTAATGCTTATCGTTTATGTATAAATGAAGCTATTGATAACTCCTATCATAGAGTTGATGAGAAATGGCACATGGTTTGGAAGTTAAAGAGCTCTCGTATGGTCAAAAACTTCTTCTGGCGTATGTGTAGGAACTATGGACCAACTAGAGCGCGTCTAAAGGATAAGGGTGTTGATTTCCCCTCTAACTGCAACTTTTATGGGGAAGAGAAGGATGGCATTATTCATTTGTTCTTTTGGTGTCTGAACTGTGTGGAGTGTTGGGAAAAGTGGGGATGCGGTTGATGTTGCAACAATTGGTGAATAATCAAATAACTTTGGTTGCTATTGTGTTCTCTTTTTTGCAGGTTGTTAACCAAGAGCAACAAACAACATTCTCTACTATTTTGTGGAGCTTATGGAAATGTTGGAATAATCATATTTGGAACCAAATCGAAGACTCCTGAGATACTATTTATAATCGTGCTTTGCACTTATTACTAGGTCGGAGAAATGCTTAACAACTTAGAAAAAGCAATACCATTCAACCTCAAACCTCAATTGATAGTAATTGGAGCAAGCCTTTAGTTAGTCGTCTCAGATGTAAAATCGATGCATCCTTCTCTAAAAACATGGTTGGAATAAGTGCTTGTATTAGAAATTACAAGGATTCATTTGTTGCAGCCCGAACGAAGTGGTTTTCACCTAGCACAAAAGTCGATATTGGGGAAGCTCTAGGACTCTTGACAACCATCAAATAGGTGTATAAGCTTGATTATGATAGCGTGAATTTTGAAATGGATGCTAAAAACATTATGGATATGGTGAATAATTATCAACCAAATGATTCAGATTATAGTGCTATTACTCACGATTGTAAATGCTTATTAGATCTTTAGTTTACAAACTCTAATGTTAAATTTCTTAGGAGATAAACTAATGAAATTGCTCATGATTCAATTTTTTTTAATTTTCATAATTTTATCGATATACTAACATGTGTTCAAAATTTTATTAATAGTGAAATGAATTAAGTTTATTTCCATAGAGAAAAAGAGCAATGGAGTTTAGTTTTATATCTTTTTCATTAAATTACTTCTTTAAGATGCATATAGAAAAGTGTATTACACTATCATATATATTTTTTGACAGCAACCAATTTAGCTCATTTCATTAATTTACTATTTCTTCTATTTCAAAATAAATATCATTCTTATTTTTCAATATAATAATAATAGTTACTCCATTTTTTCAAATGTGTCATATAATTATTACTCTATACTCTATTTCTAATAAATTAATAAAACTAATTTAATAAATGTGTAATATCTCATAATAATATGATTGGATTTTTTAATCTGTAGACAAAATTTTAAATGACATTCATTTTAAAATGGAGAAAATATATTACTATTGTGTTATAGGAAGGCTATTCTATAGTATTTTTTATACAAACTATAAATATCAAACAATAAAAATTATAATATTCGTTCAGTTTTCCAAGTTTGTCCCATTCTGCCTCACCTCATATCACATGACACTGGACCAAAACCAAACAGAAGAAATACTAACAAACATCAAAAGTATTACGTGGAATTATCAATTTCCATTTTCATTTATTATTATTATATTATTATTATATCCATTTAAAAAATAAATAAAAAATCCCATCCTCGTCCTCAGCAGCACACACTTTACATTAACGCCCCCAACACCAAAACAATCAAAAACTCAATTTCTCAACGTCATCACCACCACTCTCTCTCTCTAGGGTTTTGTAACAGTGATTTTCATTTTTCACTACTAAGCTTCTTCTTCTTCTTCTACAACTTCAGGTTTCAATTCTCTCTCTCTCGCTCTCTCAACTCTGAACTCTGAACTGTGAATACATGTGCATGCATGGAATTTTCTTTAGCTCTATTGTTGTTGTTATTTACGGTTATTGATTCTCTTTCTATGATTCTTTGTTGTGTGAATATGAATTTGTGTGTAATACTTGCTTTGCTTGTGATGGTTATGTTGATGATTTTTTCTCTCACTATTATGGTCAACGTGAAAGATGATAGAGAACAATTATTAGTTTGACCACTTAAATTATTATTACAGTATATTTTTTTTTTTTTAGGGGATTTCACTTCAATTTAGTGAATTTTCTTTTTTTTAATGAATAAATTATTTGTTCTTTGTGGTGCCTGAAACAAGGATTGAATTCTACACATACTGCTTGTGTAGTGAGAGTGAGACTACTCTTAATTTTGGTGCTGAATATGGTTTTGGTCTATGTAACACCGACACTTATGAAAAAATGTGTTATATTGTCTGGATATTATGACTTTTCCCGGTTTCGTCTTATGTTGTCTGTATATTATGATTTTTCTCGTTTTCGTCTTATGTTGTCCGGATATTATGAATTTTCCCATTTTCTTCTGATGTTGTCTGTGTTCAATTGGAAAATGGATGGATAAGGCTGCTCTTGGTATGTTTGAGTGACTGCTTAGCTATACCTTTGTACAATTAGGAATGCTACCAACTCACTCTTTCTAAAAACTTTTCAACCAGAGTAGTCAATGACGGCCAATAACGGTACCATTCTGCTAAAGCGGAGCGGAGCAGAGGCCAATCGCTATGGGAAGAGCTTTAGCGGTGCAGAACGCTATAGTAGCTACTAAAGGATAAATAGCGGGATAACGGAGCAGAGTGGTTCCCTCCTGGAGCGGTTTCTGGCCCGCTATCCTTTTCCCCTTAAAAAAACCGAAATTACCCCTTAAAATTACAATGTTTTAAATGTTTTAAGGGTAATTTCGAGGTTTTCAATCAAATTTGAGTTGAGACTCAACCTTAACCCTACTTCATAGTTGTTTATGCACTTCAAAAGTCACATGTACTTTGATTTATGAATATTTTATGAGTTGTTACTTGTTTAATTTTACATTCAGTATACATTTATGATTATTATATGTAATTTGTCCAAAAAAAGATCAAATAGAGCGGTCATCCCCACTTTTGAGATTGGCCGCTCCGCGCCGGTTTCGGGATTGACTACTCTGTTTTCAACACACTCTATGATTTGTCTGCTTTTTTAAAAGCCAACACATTTTTCACTTTAGTTAATCTCTCTGTTTTATGAAAAGATGGACCGATTGTAAAGAGTGAAATCAAAGAGTACATTGCTAGTATTCCTCTTAATATAACTTATGATTACATGAAATGGTAATATACATTTCAGTATGATGTCAATATTTTCATATTTCCTTTGAATAATCACTAATCTTTTGAACAAATACATTATCATCATTTAACTTTATGTTAATTGGTATGTGGTTACAGAAAAAATGAATTTTTATCTGCAAGTGTTCAAATAAAATAAATTTTGTGTCTACTCAAGGTGTTAACTAATTAGAATTATAGTTTCTTGAGCTTCACTTATATACTTTTCTAGTTTAACTTTGCAATACTAATATTATATATTTCATATTAGAAGTTTATGCTGATCCAACAATTTTTGGAACATCACAGCACTTTAAGGAGCCATGTTATGTTTCTGATTTCCATCACAAAAGAAGGGGCAAATTAATCTTCCAGTAGTATGGCAACAGAGAGTCCAATTAGAATATCAGAAGCCGGGGGGAAATGGCCTTCTCATATTGATGCGTCAGCTTTTGGCACACCACCTCATAACATGGGGACAGAAGATTTGGGTATTCTGTTGAAGGGCCATAGGTTCCGTGGTAGTGCAAAGGACGTCGCACCCAATCGTAGTGGCAGTGCACCTCCCAGCATGGAAGGCTCATTTCTGGCCATAGAAAACCTACTACCACTTCAGAACACCCAGGATGCAAGCTTGACAACTCTGAGCAGGGCTGTGAAAAATTGTGAATCTGAAGAACAGTTACGGGCTGATCCAGCTTATTTGGCATATTACAGTTCAAATGTCAACCTAAACCCTAGACTTCCTCCTCCGCTAACTTCCTGGGAAAACCGCCATATAGGGCACCATATTGGTAGCTCTAGAAATAATTGGGGATTGCCTTCTGCAGATCATAGAAGTAAAAATTCTTTACATTTACCGCAAGCAACTCTTTCAACACACAAGGAGGAGTCTGAGGATGATTCCACCCAACAACAGACACATGAAAACAAATCAGTTAACATACGTGGAGTATGGCGTAGACAAGATGCAGCTTCATCGGCATCACAGCAAAAAAACGTGGTTGATTTAATTCAGGTGATTATTTTGATATCAATTTCTGAATTTAGTGAATTTATTACAATTTTCTGCACTAATATGCATATTCTATTCCTGTTCATATTATTACCGTTGAATAGTATATTTGTTACACTTGGTTGCTTGCTGTATTGGGTAGTATTCTGCAATTATGGTATTTTCTTTTTCTCATTCTGTAAGTTGTTACTCACATAGCTCTTAGTTGCTCTGCCAGATTAAAAATGTGATTATGAATACAAATGTTTATCCAAAATTAAAATTTTCAGGAGGACTTTCCTCGCACCATGTCACCTGTATATAATATGTCTCTTTCTGTAAGTCATGGACTGGTGGATAAACCAATTGAATTAGAAGCTGCTTCCAGTTCTTCTCATGACCCTCATGTTACTGCAGTAGAGTCTGCTAAACCTACTGCAGGTGCGGATGATATTAGGGTGTCATCAAGTGTCGATGTCCACTCCCCTGTTGCAAGCTCTTCAACTCTTGGATCCGCAGCTAGCATGGGTTTTAGTAACATAGATGTTGCAACTGTTGCATATCAATTAAAGACTCTTAATGTATCCAATCTTGCAAATTCAGAAAGCCTGAGTTATGAAGAAAAATTGAAGACAAGCTACCAGAATAATATGATGCAACGGCAGGTATTCCCGCAACAAAGCAATCCGAGTGAAGTTCCTAGTACTAATCCTCAAAGTGTAGACAATGCTTACTTTGGAAGGGAACAGTTTGCTCTTAATTCAAGCAAGTTGTCTGATGTTCAGCCACTACTTCAGTCATCTGGGTTTACACCTCCTCTATATGCCACAGCAGCAGCTTATATGACCTCTGTAAATCCGTTTTACACTAATATGCAAGCCTCAGGCACATATGCTCCTCAATATATTGGTGGATACACTTTAAATCCCACAGCTATTCATCCATATATTTCTTCCTACCCTCATGGTGCTGTGCCATTTGTTGTTGATGGGGCTACTAGTTCTAGTTATGCCCCGCTAACACCAGGGGTTTCGACCGGGGGTAGTATTTCACATGGAGCAGAAATGGTACAAGCAAACAAGTACCTCGGGCAATTTGGATATCCTGTACAGCCTACTTATGGTGATCCTATTTACATGCAATACAATCAACAAGCTTTTGTAGAGGGATTTGGTATTTCTGGTCATTTTGACCCACATGCACCTAGAGCAAGTGGTGTTAACCAAATGAATCCTTATGATTCACAAAAAAGGCCTGGTACCGGTGCTTATTTGGATGATAAAAAATTACACGAACAGAGAACTGGTGCTAATATGAACTCGAGAAGAGGTGGATTATCAGTTCCTAGTTATTTTGGACATATGCCAAACACTGGCTTTGTAATGCAGTATCCAAGTTCACCACTTTCTAGTCCAGTTTTGTCTGGATATCCAGAAGGAAGTCCTGGCCTTTCAGGAGGTAGAAATGAAATGAAACCTTTCCCAGCTTCTGGTAGAAATGGAGGCATGTTATCTGGATGGCATGGTCCAAGGTCTTTTGACAGTGCTCAAGACCCCAAGATTGTTAACTTCCTCGAGGAGTTGAAATCTGGCAAAGGTCGCAGATTTGAGCTATCTGATATTATTGGACATATCGTTGAATTTAGGCAAGTAGTTTTCTCAGCTTTATTTCCACCTATCAAATTGACCAAATTCTTGGCTTTGGAAATTAAGTTCACTGTCTTTTACCTCCAGCGCTGATCAGCATGGAAGTCGATTTATACAACAGAAGTTGGAAAGTTGTGGTGTTGAAGAGAAGGCATTGGTGTTCAAAGAGGTTCTTCCACATGCTTCTAAATTAATGACTGATGTATTCGGTAACTATGTAATACAGAAGGTGAGTTTTTGGGAGTGATGTATATTGTTGTTAACTTTAAGTACCTTAGAGTTGCCTCCAAATCTATTTTGATGAATTTGTCCCTTCTCTCGTGTTCAGTTTTTTGAGTATGGAAATCCTGAACAGAGGAAGGAACTTGCAGATAAACTTGCTGGTCAGATACTGCCTTTGAGTTTGCAAATGTATGGCTGTCGAGTAATCCAAAAGGTATGTAATTCAAAATGGCTCATGTAGCTTCATGATATTAATATACATTTCACGGGCATGCTTGATAGGTCATGACTATTGCAATCTGTTTAGGATTTAGATGTTGAGCATGGATTAAGTCTGTATGACTGTTTCTGTTTTTGAATCAGTGCTTTCAGATAATTTGAAATTCAGAACTATTGATGTTCTGTCCATATTCACAACCTTGTTGGGGACTGGATTCTGGTTTTCTCAAATGTCAATCTGAAAATGTGTTGTCTGACCTGATTTGTCTTTTATTACAACCACCGGCACCTCTGAGGAAGAGTTTATAAAATGTGATTTGAATTTAGTAATAGTTGCTTATCATCTAATGTTGTAAGTTTACTTTTATAGCCAACTTGTAAGTATTAACAAGACCAATCTGTTTAGATAGAGTCGTAGACACTGCTATTAAATTATTCATGAAATTGTTTGTGGAAGTCAAAAACGAGGAATTTTTTTTTTTGTTTTGATTTTTTGTAATTAAAATTGTGACCGGGCTTTGTTGTGGGAAGAAACAAAGAAAAGTTTAGTAAAATGCTCATAATGTCTGCAGTTTAGTTCCATAAAATAGAAAAAGCTCAAATGCAAAGAATCTTGACACTGATAAACCTATATGTTAAAGGGGTTCTGCAGGTTGGGTTGGGTCTAAAATCACCTAACCCACACTAACTGACAGGCTAAATTTCCCCTTTTTGTTTCTTATGGTAATACCGCTCAACTGTTACTAACAAATAATAATATAAGTGGAACTGTTGTGGAGCTATGTTGTTCCACTGACATACTTTCTACTATATAGTAAGTGGAATGATGTCATCCCACAATCCTACTTATGAAAAGCAAAATTAAGGCTATAACTTGGAATGATATTATAAGTGGAACTGTTGGAGAGCTATGTTGTTCCAATTACATACTTTCTACCTATGAAACACGGACATCGGAAACACTACTCCGACACTGACACATCGACACCGGTAATAATTTGAAAAACGTAATCACAAGTTTCAGTATCCGTTTTGGACACCGACACTGACACATACACTTTTTTCAGAGGTGTCGGTGCTACAGAGCTTTCTACTATATAATAAGTGGAATGATGTCATCCCACAATCCTACTTATGAAAAGTAAAAATAAGGCTAACTTGGAATGATATTGTTTAAATTTTAGAAAACAACATTGACAGTCGGAGAAAACATTGTTTTCCACCTGTTGCCCCTGTCTGTGTAGGCTGGATTGCAGATTTGCCTCGATCCAAGTATGCAGTTTTGTACTCAAGTTACGAGGGGAAATTTTATTGTGATCCCGTGAGGCTTTGATCAATTGCACTTCGTACTCAAGTTATGCTATTAAACCATAGATACCTTTGAAATTTGTAATTCTATTGAAGAATGCATAGTTGCATAATTCAGAGTTGGTGGTCTACTTTCCTATTCTTTGTTTTCTATTAAATTGTGATTGTTTGTCAGTGAATAAAGTTGAAAATAGAGCAAAGTCTTGGTTATAATATAGGTATTCTATTGAAAGTAGACACGGTGTTTTTATATTTGTCTTATGCCCATGCAGGCACTCGAGGTTATTGAGCATGAACAGAAAGCTCAGCTTGTTCGTGAGCTAGATGGGAATATCATGAGATGTGTTCGGGATCAAAATGGGAATCATGTAATACAGAAATGCATTGAATCTATACCCACCCAAAAAATTGGCTTTATACTATCAGCATTTCGTGGTCAAGTTGCTAATTTATCAATGCATCCCTATGGTTGTCGAGTCATTCAGGTATAGTTAATGAATTCCCTTTCACGTAAAGTTTCTTTTTGTGTCATGCATCAAGTAGAACTAAATAATATTTCTTGCAGAGAATTCTAGAGCATTGTACAGATGAGGTTCAGTGTCAGTTTATCGTAGATGAAATATTGGAGTCAGTTTGTTCTCTTGCTCAGGACCAGTATGGTAATTATGTTACCCAGGTTAGTTGCTGGCTCTTCCATGTCATACTTTGGTTATCAGCTTCTGGTGTTTTGGGTACATATCAGAAAGAAGATGAATAGTTAGAGGCAGATATGCATGTCATGTCCGTTCTATCTGTAGCATATGATTACAAGTCACCATACCCTATGAATTTGCTGTGACTGTAAAATATCATGATTTGTGATAGTCTCAGCTGTCACTTATATTTTGATTTTAAATATTTTTAATTTTATTTCTTTCAATTGTTCTTTCCATTTATTTCTTCCGAAGCAGCACTCTCAAAGCTGAATAACTTTTCAAAACTTTTGTTCCCAAATTTAACCATCACAAGGAGTTTTGCCTACAAAAGATTGCTTATAATTGACACAAGTCTAGTTATCTTTGGTTACAGCTTATAAGAGCAAAACCTTTTTAAGAAACTTCATTATCTAACTTATAAAAATGAAAGTTTTGGAGTCGGCCGCTCCATGCCCGGGATTTGACATCCTAGACTTTATGTTGTTTTCTATAGCAAATCTCTTCATTTTATCTGGGTTTGGGACTTTATTTGTTGTAATGAATGATAACAAACTTTCTTCCCTCCGGCCCGCGTGCTCACACATACACACAGTGTATTCTGCCTTTGGAAATCTTTGTAATCAATTTCGTCTGATATATAAAAAATCCATTGGTGGCAATTAAACATAATATAGTCCCAGTTTGTTGTTGCACGGCTGAAAGGGAATTTGAGTTTCCCTCCTCTCCTCCTTGGCATTTTCATGTGAGAATATTGTGTTTTGTGTACCATTCATTCATTCATGAATTTCCACAATGCTTGATTTGATGTAGATTAAGTCTGGGTTCAAATGGCTAATCTAACCAACTACTTTTAACTCTGGATCTTGTTGTGGTTTGCTGCCCCTTTCATATGCCAATTTTTTTCAAAAGATTACGTAAGTTACGATAATTTCCTTATGTCATCACAGCATGTGTTGGAGAGAGGAAAATCTCAAGAAAGGAGCCAAATAATCAGCAAGCTGTCAGGACATGTTGTTCAATTGAGTCAGCATAAGTTTGCTTCAAATGTTGTGGAGAAATGTCTGGAGTATGGTGATCCCTCTGAACGGGAGTTGTTTATTGTAGAGATTATTGGGCCTGATGGGCAAAATGATAATTTATTGGTAAGTTCGAACTTAGTAATGCTAATTACAGGCTAATTATTGTTCAGAGTTTCTACTTCCTAACTTTGAAATATGTTGTTAATGATTTAGCAGGACTTAGAAGAATGTATTTATGGTAAAAATAATTGATAACGTGTTTTATCATTATAATGAAGACATTAAGAGGCATGCATTGCCAGTATAAATCAATTTTAGATTGACAGCCGATGAAAACCTATTCTTCATATCATTAATTTAAGATTCATTTACAAGAAAGGATGACATGTCAGAATGATGGATTCTCATGAAATGAATGTTCAAAGTTGATTTACATTGGCAGTGCATTCCCTTTAAACTTTATAAATGAAGCTTATTTAATGTACTATGTGTCAGTTGTTGCACAAACTTCTGGAACTTTCTTCAAATAAAAGACAATGTGTATCCATGCCTCCCAGTGAATACTAACCAGGGAAGAAATGAAATTACTTTCAGAAATTAATTGAGAGCTGTCTGGCCCGGTGATGGTTAAATTATTTAGCTTACCCCTAACCTCCTATATTTCCGTGAAAGTGAGTCCTTTTGATGTTTCTTCCCTGTCTCCTTAGGAATCCTGTATGATTTGGATGGGCCCCACTAGATCGGTCTCATCCAACAAGTCCAGGCTATGCTTCCTTTCTGGATAGGAATATCCTATTCTTTGAATGCATGACCATGATGCCCAATGAATGTTTCTGGACTCTCAAGTCCTATGTCTGAATTTTGTTTCTAAGAAAAGCCTTCAGTTTTCCAATACCCCTGTTGTTGGTCCTTATAATCGCGATGTCCCTATAATGTATGTGACTAGAACAGTTAATTAGAAAGTTGAATGTTGAGATTTTCACAACTTTATGATTTATTATTAATGTGATGTATTTTATAACATAATCGACCATTGATTTTTAGATCAACCATTATCGCTGCACTTTATCTTCTAAAATGCTGTCCCTCATTCTAGAGGAGCTAATTTTGTCATTACGCCACCAGTCAGTCTATTTGAAGAATATTATATCATCACTCTTCCTTCTTATCCTGAACTCCATGACAGTTCACCGAATTCCCAAAACTAGGATTTTTAGGCTATAAAAAAAAAATTTTTTAATCAGCACAACTTACCATACTCGTTAGGAGAGACAAAGCTAGGTGGTTGCTATAAATTTTGTTCTGCAAATGGACATGTAAGAATACATTATTCGTCCCATCTTGGAACAATAGCCAATGCTTGCTTAACAGCTGGCCTTTTCTCTGTGGCCTTCCTTTAGCAACCATCACTAGTTAGGTACTAAATGAACAAGAGTATTGCCATTGAATTTGCTACCATACGGGTATGGGTTTGCATCAAAGTACATTTTATAAATGCAAGTATGAGGAAAAACTCTATAGTATTGTACTCAGACCTTAATCATCGTCATCCCAGTCAGAGGTATTCATATCTAATGTTGGTAACATACATTCTTTGATATCTAATGTTGGTAACATAGATTCTTTGATATCTAATGCTTGGTATCTTAAGGTCGAAATCTCTTTAGCATTAAATGCAGTGTGAATAATGCTTAACAAATTGGATAATTTTATAACTTGTGTGAATGCATGTCATTTTGGATTTTTACTCTATCTTACTTGACCATATTTTGATTTTCATTGTAGACGATGATGAAAGACCAATTTGCTAACTACGTGATCCAGAAGGTTATTGACATATGTTCTGATAATCAGCGTGCAATGTTACTCTCTCACATAAGAGTCCATGCTAATGCTTTGAAGAAATATACTTACGGAAAACACATTGTGGCTCGCTTGGAACATCAATTTGGAGGTGTGTTCTTCTTGTACCCTGTTTTAAAACTGTTACATTGGCAAATTAATATAAAATGTTGCTACCTAAATACCTTAAAATTTAGTGACTGGGTTTGCTTAGTCGAATATGTGGAAAATAAGGAGGAAATCCTAATGAAGGCTACTGCACACTGGTCTGATGCAAAACAAATGAGGAGGAAAATAAATGTTCATTTTCACTGATTTTAAGCCTGTTCTCTGTTTTCTAACTTCTCACTTTCCACCTACTCAACCAGAAAAACCTTGATATGTTAAGTAATGTGGTTGGGTCTAACTCAACCCTACAAAACCGGCGTGTAGGGTGAGGATTGCCCCCACTTATAAGGACAAGTTCAGGACATATACTGTCCATTGTGAAACTCTTAACGGTAACTAACAATTAGGTTTCCTCTGTCTTCTATTATGTGTTTTTCTTTTTCAAAATATTACGATTGATATTACCCATTGGATTAATCTTATAGAGGAGTTTTTAAATAGAAACTAATCTAACAAGACAAATAAAGCACTAGTAACATACTATTTCCGACACCTGATGATTGAGTTCAATTCAAGTAAGACCAAGATCCACATGAATTTCATTCATTCATGAAGAGTGTTGCAAAGAGAGCGCGTCTTACTTCCTAATCAGAAATTTCTCTAACAGAAATATTTAGCAAAACAAGGCACTGTTTGGTATAGGTGTGTCTAAACACATCAACCCTGTCTTCCAGAGAGGGAAATAAAACCGTAACGGACGCCGAATGGAGCATGAGAAGGAAACACCTGGTACCTGTATTATGATGACTTGCTATCCTGCACTTGTTTTATAGCTTCTTATAATGTGCTTGATTTTTGCATGCAGAGAATCAAACACCCAGTTCATGATGAGATTCTAGAGGGAACATGAATCACCGGCAGTGCGGCAGTAGCATGCTAACCCCACTTTGCTGACCGCTGATTGCCAGAAATAGCTGAGACATTGATCTTTGGTCCTGCCAATGAATATACGGTTGTTTTCTATTCCTCTGATGTCATAACCGCACTTTGATAGCTTGAGGAGACATTAGTATATACATGTACACTGTAAAACCTAATGTAATTATGTCATTCAAATAATTGATTGGAAATGTTGGAGTATAATTTATTTAGAAAGAAACCCTTGATGTAAACTTTACTGAATCTTACATAATACTTAATGCGTGGTTGGTTTTCCTAGAGTTCCGAACTCAATTCATTGTTATATGAACACATGTTTTCTGGTTCTAGTTAAGTATCTTTCTAACTGTAAATGCCTTATATTGAACGGTTAGGTTTATTTATTGACTATGTTTGTAGGAAGTGTGAATAAGAATTTTTATTTTCAACGAAAGTAACGCAGGGCCAGCCATTGGGCCAAGCCACTAAGGCTAGGGCTTTAAGCCCTCAAATATATTTTTTGCGATTAAGGCCTAAAAACAAGCCTCCATCAATTTAATACTTCCAGTAAAATTGTTCAGCAGCCACGTGAAAAAGAAAAACCACACCTTTTCACCGTCTTGACTCTTCTTCCCAACGTTTTTGTAACTGTAATTGAAACAACTCTGCAGATTTATTCTGTAGCGCCGCGTCGCCTGCATCACATCAGTCACTCCTATAGAAAAAGAGACGACTTCCTGTTATCTGACTTCTTAATTTCCTTCTTATTCTCCCATCACTGCTTTGATGTTTCGGTTGATAATAAATAGATTGTTCTTTTTTTTATTCTCTTTTTGCCGGCAAATAAACTGGTTCTTTTATTTTTTCGTTGGATCTATTTTCTTTGTTATTATTTGTTTTGTTTAATTTATTTTTTATTTCTCTTTTATCTCTTTAATTTTATTTTAGTTCTTTTATTCTGTTTATTTCAGTTCTATTTAGTTTTATTTTAGTTGTTTACTTTCAAGGTTTGATTGAATTGTTTATTTGTTTTAAAATATATAAATGTCAAATCGAAAATATAAATCGGACTATTCAAAATTAAAAAAAAAAAGAGTTGAAGTTTTGATTGAATCACAAAAAGGAGCTCTAGACAAATTTGTTAAGACTAACAAAAAAAAGTAAAACTGAAAATAATGGTGATTGCTTGTTGAATGAACAAATTAATAATGTAAATCATGATGAACAAGGTAACAATATATATTCTAATGAAAATAAAGAAGAAATAATTGGTGAAAATAAAGAAGATGGTCGGTTTATTCTCAAAATTTGGATAAAGTGTTTTGTTTTTTTTGTAATTATTTAATGCTCTTTCTAGTACAAGTAAATTAGTACATGAAAATAGTAATGATTGGAGAAATATTAGTGCTAAGTTGAAGAGTCATGAGATGAGTAATGAACGATTGTTAATATGAATACATGGATTGATTTAGAAATGAGATTATTAAAATATAAAACAATCGACAAGAATGTTCAAGAAAAAATTAATAGAGAAAAAGAGTACTGTAAAAATTTATTACTTAGAATCATTACGGTTGTTAAATCTCTTGGGAAAAATGAATTAGTATTTCGTGGAACAAACGAAAAGATTTACCAAAAAATAATAGATTTTTTTTATGTCTAATTGAAATGATTATAGAATTTGATCCTCTAATATAAGAGCACATTCGTTGAATAAAAAATGATGAAATTTATAACCATTATCTTGGACATGGAATACAAAATTAATAGATTTGCTAGCAAATGAAATTAGAACAAAAATTATAAAAAAAGTTGTGGAGTCAAAATATTTTTCAATGATACTTGATCGTACTCCTGATATAAGTCATCAAAAACAAATGTCTATTGTATTATGATGTGTAGGTTTTTCTTCAACCCCAATACAGATAGTTGAGTATTTTTTAGAATTTTTAATAATATATGATACAATTGGAAAAAGTCTTTTGATGCTATTATGAATGAACTAAATATACTTGGTCTTGATATTGGTGACCTAAGAGGAAGGAGTTATGATAATGACTCTAATATGAAAGGAAAACATTAAGGTGTTCAAATTTTTTTTTAGATGTTAATCCTAGATTTTATACTTCATGTGGTTGTCATGGTCTAAACTTGATACTTTGTGATATGACAAATTGTTGTTCCAAAGCTACGTCATTTTTTTGGAGTGGTGCAACATATTTATACAATATTTTTTCATCTACTAAAAGACGGAAAATTCTTCTAGACCATACACCTATCGTTACTTTGAAATCATTATCACAAACACGTTGAGAAAATCGTATTAAAAATGTAAAAGTTATAAGATTTCAAACTTCACAAATAAGAGATGCTTTATTAAAATTAGGTGAAGTGAATGATGAATCTAAAATAAAAAGTGAAGTTGAATGTTTGACAACTTATGAGCTTGAAAATTTGAATTTTTGCTAACACTTTCAATCAAAGGATATGAGCATCGATGTTGCTATAGAGCAATTGAAAGGATTTATTTCTTTTCTTTTTCCCGAAAATTATAGGGAAGATAATTTTGAAAATGCCATAATTTCTGCTAAAGAAATTTCTATCGAAATGGATATAGGACCTAAGTTTCGTGAAAAACGTATTATTCGTTGAAAGAGATAATTTGAAGAGATTATTGACGATGAAGTTTTAAAATCTCCAGAAAAATCATTTAAATTTGACTATTTTTTGTACATATTAGATCATGCAATTACATCATTTCGAAGTAGATTTGAACAATTTAAAATATACTAAGATATTTTTGATTTTCTATTTAGTATAGACAAATTAAGGTCATTAGAAATTAAAATTTTAAAAGAATATTATCTTAACCTCGAATGTTCGTTAAAACAATAACGACAACTCTAATATTGATGGATTCGACTTATTTTCATAATTGAAAATATTAAGAGAAATCATACATGTCGAAAATGATACACCAATTGATATACTTAACTATAAAATAAGATTGAACTCCTCCCCAAATGTATTTGTAGCTTATAGAATAATGTTAACGATTCCTTTAACTGTTGCTTCAGCAGAAAAGAGTTTTTTAAAATTAAAACTAATAAAATCTTATCTAAGATCAACAATGTCTCAACAAAGATTAAATGAATTAGTTTTATTATCGATTGAAAAAAAATATTAAATGAAATTGATTATAGTAGTTTAATAAATGATTTGACATCTTAAAAAGCTCGAAAAGTAAAATTTAAATAAATATTATAATAATTAATTAATATTTTTATTAGAACATAAAAGACCTTAATTCAAAGTTTGATTTAAGCCTCGTAGAGTGTTGGGCTGACCCTATCTTTAAAAGGAGTCATAGTGAGTTTTATACTATTTACAACAAGTTATCAAGTGTTTTGGTACTCATAATAGGTCTTGTCGCACATGATAGTATATCTCTTTTCTTGCAAAGAATACCAATATACCTTGCGTACTATTGCTTAACTGTCTCAAATTTGAACGTCATGAGAGCAAAAAAATCAAGTTATTCTTCTTAAAAATAAGCTTTCCTGATGGTTTCCAAAGGAATTAGCTTAGTTGAGCATATGGACTAGATGATTGCTTGACACTTACAATCAAATAACATCGTTGACAGTCTGTACAAGGAGGTACTAGAGCGAGCCAACATGACGTGTACCAAGAGGATGTTCCAACACTACAATATAAGATGCTTGATGATCACTGTATTAAATGGAATCTTTCATAATCATCTATTATATACGAGGATCATTTATTCAATTTATTAGGACCAAATAATCATGCCTAGTAAAACTTTAAATTTTCAAGCTCACAAGTTGCCAAACATTCAACTTCACTTTTTATTTTAGGTTTATCATTCACTTCACCTAATTTCAATAAAGCATATCTTATTTGTGAAGTTTGAAATTTTATAGCTTTTACACTTTCAATACGATTTTCACGTGTTTGTGACAATGATTTCAAAGTAAGACTAGGTATATGGTCTAGAAGCATTTCCATCTTTTAGTAGATGAAGAAAATATTGTATAAATACGTTGTACTAGTTCAAAAAAATGATGTAGCTTTGGAACAACAATTTGTCATATCACAAAGTACCAAGTTTAGACTACGATGATCACATGGTATATAAAATCTAGGATTAACATTTGAATTTTTTTTGAACACCTTGATATTTTTCTTTCATATTAGAATCATTATCAAAACCATGTCCTCTTAAGTTACCAATATCAAGACCAAGTATATTTAGTTCATTCATAATAGCATAAAAAGACTTTTTCCAATTGTATCATCTACTATTAAAAATTCTAAAAAATACTCAACTACTTGTATTGGGATTGAAGAAAAATTTACACATTATAATGTTGGTGCACAAGGAAGAGATAAAATGCAAAAGAAATATATTAAAAGACGGCTACAAAAATAAGGATTTACAATGAATTACAATAACCTACTCTGCTAGGCTATTTATACACAAAATTATATCTTCTAACAAAGATATAAAAAGATATAATAATATCCTCTAAAAAAATATTCCTAAATATGAATCAATATCTAAAATATAAATTAAATCTAACACCATCCCTTAATTTATATTTACCCAAAACTGACAACGCCAATTCCATCCCTCAAACGAAGAAATTGATCAGTCTTGATAGTCTTTGTCAGAACATCTGTCAGCTGCTTCTGGGTGCTACAGTGCATAATTTCTAATATTCCACTCTGAACTTGATTCCTCAGAAAGTGATATTTGGTCTCAATATGCTTGCTTCTCTCATGCAGCACTGGGTTCTTGGAAAGATTGATTGCAAACTTGTTATCAATCATCAGCTTCAGAGGTTTGTCTACTTTAATCTTCAGATCTTGCAGCAAGTTTAGAATCCACACAGCTTGACATGCAGTCAGAGCACCTGTAATATATTCAGCTTCACAGGTTGACAGCG